CTTTGGGGTCTAGGGTTGAGTGCTTGGGCATGTTGGAATAATGGGGGGTTCGGATTATAAACCCCCCCCCCCCCCAAACAAGTCCGGATCAGAATAAACGGGGGGCCCCTAATCAAGTTCGGGAAAAGTTGTTTGGGGGGGCCGGGCCAATCCCGATCCTTAGGGCTATAAATAACCCTAAACCCTAAACCCTAAGCTCTAAACCTTGGACCCTAATCAAGCCCGGGACTCTAGAACGCCTGGGCAAGAACAGTCTCTCTTGGGCTCAGAGCCACCAACTTTGCCAGCGTCCTGAACCCTAAACCCTAAACCCTAAACCCTAAACCCTAAACCCTAGCACGCACTATTCCGTTCCTGGGGCTGTTATTAATCCGTTCAGCTCGGATTGCGCTCTAATACGACCCCCTGTTTATTATTCCGTTCGGGCTCAAAAGCGCTCTAATACGACCTCCTTTTGTAATCCGAAGTCAACATTAATCGCTATGTGTTCAGTGATGAAACCATATACAGTGCTGCATGTTATATAGCAGAGGGTCGCATGAACATGCAGCTCCCCCTTCGGCAGATTTTCAAGCTGGGCAACCACTTCTTTGCTCATGCCCTGGACTACTTCGTCTTGGATGGTTGGGTGACGGAGCATGTCAGGCCTTTCTCGCATGCTGCAACTTGAAATGGCACGGCTTGCGCTCGGAAGAAGTGTCAGGATACTTCAGGAGCTTTCAACAATGTATCGGACTCTACAGTTCTGGGAGAAGGCCAATTTGCGTGCATTTGCCTGCAGCATTCCGGGAAATCTGCAAAGCCCCTGGCTATGCGAGGATACACACTTGATTCCCATGGCATCAGTACCTTCCCTGAACAAGAGTGAATCTTGTAAAGCGGAGCATCTTTTTTACTTATGATTGGGGCTACCGTGAAGTAGTCTTGTTTACAAACCAGGAGTACTCGCGTGCAACTCAAATCTTGCAAGCAGTTCGATGTGAAGCGGACCCTGGAACCAGCGCAGGATCCAAAGCGATCCGCCGCAATGCTCAAGCGACGAGCCAGTTGCTTGACTTTTCTTTCTTGCGCTGTGTGTCTGTCTCATGTTGTTCCATGGCCTTACAGCTAGGCTTCCAGCTAGGTTTAGCTGCTGCCATGTGGTCTTATACCTGTGCATCTGGCATATAGGGAGAAGCTGTGAGGGCAAGCTCTTGTCGTGCCTTTCTCGTACCAGCATCTTCCCGTGTGCGCTTCGCCGGCTCAAGCTGGAAACCACGGCCCGGCCGTCGCCGGCCACGAGGTGCAGCTCTTTCAATGTGCCGCGTTGTGCGTGCTTGTAGGTAATACTTTTACACTTGGAGTGGCAACTGTCCCAATGTAGGTCATATTTGTGCTCCTCTCACCTACTTAAAACCAGCTTGCATTGGCCATCAACGCCCCACCGAAGCAACAGGTTGGATGGGTGACCGTCGAGGCGGGTGGGAATGCGCGCTTTGTCCTCGGGGGCTCATTGGATAGAAGTCAAACCCTGTAGGAGACCGTGCCTATGGCCGTGGCCGCTGGGGCCGCGGGGGCCGTGAGGAGGAGGAGGCAGGGACCAATGTAACTCGAACTATTTCAATGAGCTCTGCTCTTGTGGAGTGCATTCATGCACGTGGGCCTTCTTCCATTTGAGCAATCGAAAGGAGAGAGTTTTTTGCTTTGCAGGACCGCAGGGAGCCACCGGCTCGGCGGCCAGAGCGGGGCAAAGGCGGTGCTGTGCTATCAACTTCGGCTGAATGTGACAAGCCAAACGCATAAGAACACAGCAATATATGTCAGTGGGCTGCGGAGACCTGTTCATACCGCAGCTGCCGCTCTTGCAAAGATTCAAGTAGGATACTGTCAGGTGACCACCGCGGCTATGGCCGAGACTCCGGTCGAGAGCCTGGCCGGGCCCGCTGGAGTCGCCGGGAAGAGGAGGATGAGGCACAGCTCTTGGCTTCGGGTTCAAACAAGTTTGGAAGCCTCGTGCATGCAAGCCTTCCTTGGAGGAGATGAGTCGAAGAGAACCACCTCCGCCGCGGCGGCCAGACGATCGAGGTCGAGGCTGGATGCATTGATGATGCTTGCCACAAATTTGGCGACCACATCATTTTGGAAAAGATTCAGAAGTCTCCGACTCTACAGTCCTTCAGAGCTTCGCTGTATGCTGGTCACAAGCTCCACAAATCATGGATTGCAATGGTCGCATCCGTGAAGACACATTCGTGCATTGGTCGGCACTTGCAACCTGATTTTCTTTTCAGCCAGCCTTCAGCCTGAGCACATGCAAGGCCATATGGCTAGTACAGGTGCAGTGTGTAGGTCTTTGAACAGGTGTGTTTTTTACATGCAATACTTGGACAAGCCCAAGATTTAAAGTAATCAGGCTTGTGTGAAACACATGGAGGGTAATGCCAGGAGATGCCCGTAGCATTTCCCTCGGCCCAATGGGATGTTGGCCCTGTCCCGAACAGAAGGAGCAAGGATGAGCCCAATTGACAATCAAGAACTCAAGCATGATGCAAGCCTCGCAGGTGACCGTGGGGATCGTGGCTACGGGCATGATCGAGATGGCCGTGGTCGATGGGGCCGCAGAGAAGAGGAGGCCCATTAAGCTTTGAGACTGATGGTGTGCTCCTTGGGAATAAGGGAATATATTGGGGTTATATAGGGTTAATGGAAAAGAAAATGGAAACTACTACAGTATTATAGGGTATATCTTGGGGTTATATTGGGGTTATATTGTGAGATGTTGTGAGTTGAAGCCAGGGCGGTCGCGGGCGGGACCGTAGCCGTAGCGAGCCGCGACGAGTGGACCGACGAGGCCACATTGTGAACATTGCGTCCGCCTTGCCAGTGCATAGACCTGTGTTGCGCTGCTATCAAGACATGGACAACAAAATCGATTGAAAGCAGCAAATTCGAACAGGTGACCACCGGAATTATGACGGCCGTGAGGCTCGTGAAGAAGCCTGCCTTGCTTGTTTGTGTGGTGGACAGTCCATGCACCGGGCTGCTCACACGCTGTGTTGAGGAGTGCCATTGTGCTGCATTCAGAATCTGCCAGGACGATGGCAGCTATAGCCAGGACTACGCTTTGCTCGTCATCTTTGCTCAAGTAATGCTCGCCCATACGCCATGTCTACAATCGGCTGCAGTCCTGCACGAGATCACATTTGGCCACGTGGGACTGCGTTGGACAGGACGAGCAGCCGCCGCCAAGAAAGGAAGAGGCGGCTGAAGAAGGCACTGCTCCAGGGCGGCTGCTTGTGTTGCCCGAGTCCGTGTATGGATTACGCTAGATTCAGTGGCTCCGTCGTGCAAGGCGAAGGGGAAGACGAGGAAGAAGAGGAAGAAGAGGAGGAGGCGGGCCAAGCTACACTTCAGGACACTCTTCCTTGAGCATTTTCTTCTTTTGATGCCGCGGCGAGGTCTGTGAGAACACTTCTCAGGCGCCCCCTGCCAAGCAGGCGAAGGCAAGCCCTGAGCAGGCTGCGGGAGACCAAGTTTTTGAGCAGTAGACCCTGCACGAATCATGCAGTCGGCTGGCATTGGGTTGACAAGCGTTTTGAAAGGCACCTCCACCTCCTGCGGGAACAAACAAGGCCGCCCAGGTAAGTTTCAGTGCCTGCCTTGTTCGCTAGTACCGCCAATCTGTACGTATGCTTCCCGGGCGACGGACCGTCCGCGGACCAGTAGCCCAGCTGTGTATCACAGGTTTTTTTTGTTCAAAGCAAGCCGTGGAAGAGGCAACAGTCTGCCACAAGCCCATGCTTGCAGGTTTCTGCTCCTCCCCTGACTGTGAGTGGCTGCCAGAATGAGACCATCAGCGCGATTATTGTCACTTGGACATGTGGTATCATTTCTGGTGACAGGAGTATGTTGTGTCGGGTAGTTTCATGTGCTGAGGCTGGTGTGTACATGCCGGACAGCCTGAATCACGGGAAGGTAGTTTACAAGAAGCAGGAAAAGTCTAGAGGCCTGTGGGGTGTTGTGACCGGAGCTGTGACCGGTAAGCATTGCGAATCGGCATCATCATCAGGGCTAGATGTGCTGATCTACTTCTGGGATGAGCGAGATGGCCGCTTTCCCAGTGCCTCTTGTAGATCCATCCAAGCTGCTGTCTTCACCATGCTTTCGTGGTCAGGTCCAGAGCTTTGTGGATGGTGGTTTGGCCCCAATGTCGGCGGTGACCAGGCTACTCGTAGCACGACAGCGTATGCCGCGACCCAAGACGTCAGACTTCACTGCATTGCAGGTGTGGGCCTATCACCCCAGCCGAACGGCTGGCACTCCACCCGCCTCGGAGTGGAACGTGCCGCACGACGGCGACATTGACCCCAGCTTCACTGTCTCTGCCATGCGCGCGGCACCCAAGAGACTGAAGAGCTTGAACTTGCGCAGTGCATGCTGTCCTTTGGGTTGAACTTGCAACCGTGAGGAACTGCTCCAACACAGTCGCTCGCAGGCCTATGTCAAGTAGCCTCGGAAAGTGCTACTTGTAACAGGGAGATGGGCACAGGCAGCGCTGTGTCCTTGAGTCCTCGACAGGAGAGCCCAGCCCGGACCGCTCCACAGCGCGGAGCCGTCCCAGGGAGGCCGCACTGGACCTTGCATAAGCTCAGGAGTAAGAGAATCTCTGACCTGCCAGGCAGCAAAGAAGCCGCTTGAGGCTGAACCTGCCCCTGAAGGCAGGGGAAGAGGTAGCGTGGCTTTGGAGGGCTGCATCTTGAATTCGGGCAGGTGGAAGAAGAGCTCAAGAGCAAGAGACCTGACCTCAGCCTGTCAGCATCTCTCGGGCCATCTGCAAAGTCTGAGCAATCTGCTCTTTGGCAGGCCCTCCGCCTCCCGGCCACGACGCCAAACTAGGGACGAGCCGTGGAGCTCAGATGGCTCAGTAGCCACGGTCCAGGATGAGTTTCAATGATACGGGGATTATGACTTGCAGGGATGCTGTTACCGAAAATTACAGCAGCTGCATGCTTGCAGGGTTTGGTGTTGAGGTTCTTTCAGATTGACAGACTTGTTTGCTCCTACACGACTGTAGACTTGGAATGCAATAGGCAGAGTGCACGTACTGCGTGCTGAGGCGTGGCCAGAAAGAAAGTCCAACACTCAGACGCTTGAGAGAACGTTCCGCTGGCTCGGAACTGTTGGAACGCGATCCAAGTTGTTTACCCGAAGTCGGTCACCATAAGTATGCACAGGTAAAGCATCCAACAAGCATTGCAGCAGCCTGATTTGCGACCTGCAAGGCTCGCAGCCACCCAAAGAGGAGCCGAGCGTTGCCTTTCACTTAGCACATCAACTTTGCTGTGCGTCAGGGAGAGGTAGGCCTCAGGGAAAGTTGTGCTCGATCTACGTGCAGGCACCTACTCCCCCTCCCAGCAACTCGCATGCCTACTTTGTGGATGCAGGGGACCGAGTCCTTCTGCAACAGTACATGCTCGAATAGATCGCCATAGCTCCTGGAAGTCTAGAAATGATGCGGAGGCATACAACCGTCGCCGGCAAGAGCGTGCTCGTAGGGAAGAGCAGCAGAAAAAGGAGGAAGAAGAGCCAGGGACTTGGCTTGTTGGTAGTCAATAATCCGAGGCGGCGCTAAAGTCTGATGATGCGAGACAACAAGTGCGAAACGGGCCTCTTCCAGGCGTCGCCGCGAAGAGACCACGCAGCCGACTAACTCTCGGCGCGGGGAGCCGCGGGGGAGCCTGGTTTGCACTTCCTTCTGCTGGTCTTTGCATCATGCTTTGAGCTCGGTTTTGACTTGGCGGGCACCACCTCAATAGGGGTCAAAGACATTGGCCTTTTTGCTTGTAGGATCTTGTACGACCAAGTCCAACGTTGTTGCACACACGGAAGCGAATGTGTTTGAGGCGGCGGGACGAGCGTCGAGAAGATAGGCACACACCACAAGGGAGGTTCGATGCGTGTCTACGCTGCCTGAGACTCTGGTGTCCTCGCAGGCATGAAGATCGTCGCGATGATCGGCGTGAAGAGCGCCGCGACGAGCGAACGGAGGATCGCAGAGAGGAT